CGTTGAATATTCCACGCGTCGGATATTCCACGCGCCGATACTCCACGCGCTGTAATTCCACGCGCCGATACACCACGCACCGTAATTCCACACGTTGGCTACTCCACGTGCCGTAATTCCATGCGTTGATTATTCCACGCATTGGATATTCCACGCGCCGATACTCCACGCGCCGTAATTCCACGCGCTGTAATTCCACGCGCCGATACTCCACGCGCCGTAAATCCACGCGTTGGCTATTCCACGCGCCGTAATTTCACGCGTTGGTTATTCCACGCGTTGTAATTCCACGCGCTGATACTCCACGCGTCGGATATTCCACGCGCCGATACTCCACGCGCCGTAATTCCACGCGCCGATACTCCACGCACCGTAATTCCATACGTTGGCTATTCCACGTGCCGTAATTCCATGCGTTGGTTATTCCACGCATTGGATATTCCACGCGCCGATATTCCACATGCCCTAATTGCATGCGTTGATTATTCCACGCGTCGTAATTCCACACATTGGCTACTCTACGCGTTGTACTTCCACACGCTGTAATTCCACGTACTGATTTTTCCAAGCGCTGTAATTAATCAGGATCCTGTGGGTGCGGTTTTTATTTTGCCTTCGATTATAATTTTAAGGTTAGGAGCACGAAATTCAAAATGGTGGATCTAATGTATGAACCGTTTTAGGTTATGTTGTTCGTCTAGAGGAAGTATTTGGTGTAACTAATAAATACATAGACTAGGAAAAAGATTCAATTGAGTGTCATGCATTTGTTAATATATTAAATCAGCAGGAAATAAATTTATTCTGTTTTACTAGTTCTTTAAAAATACAAAGATTGTTAGTACAAGAATATGTATCACTTAATATCGTCTACAACTGTTCTCCGAGTGTATTAATTTCACAAACAGGAATCTGTTACTTGAACATCTGTTCGCAGAAATGTATAACATCGGCGGTGATTACTTCCATTAAATAAATAACACCGAACAGAATACGGCGGTCTAATAATCACTCAGCGAACGTATGCATCGACCTAATGGAAACTAAAATGTAATAAAGCTATTAACTCATGAATTTTTCAACAAGAATCTCTGTTTCTACTCCCGTAATAAAAGCCAGATAAAAAGTAGATTAAGTGACGTTAATTTATTTTCTTCGAAATATATACTTCTGCGGAATATTTTCTAATTAAAGCGTAACGATGTAACCCAAGATACAAATCTTTCGACGTATACGTTATTAAATTCCTAGTTAACAAGCCGGCTAATTAAGAACGATATCTCACGTACATTTTTATAAAATTTTAAATTCGATGTACGGATTCGTTCCATTGTAATGTGACTTTTCACGAAAAATTCGGGCAGAAGGCAAAAATATAAATTCGTGGAATATAGATGTATTAAATAACAGTCTTACATTATTTCAGTATGCTCTTATTCGTGGAAACTAAATGGCTCCATTTATTCCGTTTCATTGCGATCTTATATTACGTTGCAAAATTGAAACACACTAGAGAAAACTATCAAAAGCAAAAATTAATTTTATAGATTTCTTGATTTTTTTACTTTTATTTTAGTATCGACAATAATTCATATTGAATCGTTCTGTGAACACACCAAGTATTTTATAAAAATTTCATGTACAGGAAAAGTTTAATAATTGATTTTATGTATTGTACTGTTGGAATCCGGGTAGAGGACAAAAACCACTTTTAATATACTAAAAGTTTATTCGATTTAAAACCTTTTCGGTTACGCTGAATTTAACTTAACAGAAAGTCGTGAAAAGATTGGATGCAACAACGACCTCGCTAACTCGCAGCAAAACTAATTCTCTTCTAAAATACCCATGGTCAGTTATAATATATGTATCTTTACTCTAGTGGGGCAGGACGACCTTAGCCCTTATGACTAATGGTAGACGTGAATACGCTGTTTTCGTTACTGTGAATCGGAAGAGTCATGGTTTGGCTATGACTTATTATTTATTTAGGAGAGGTCATCCAACAATACACCTCTGTTGATAATAATTTTAAGAGTCCTATAGGTTTTAATTAAATAAGAAATAAAATTGCAGATGCATGGCCAGATTTCCACGCGCACATAAGAGAAATAAAAACTTAAGCGTTGTCATTGAACAGGCTCGTTTTGCGGGTGAAAAGAGACGAGGCGCGATAATGGGCCGGATATAAACGAGTCGAAAGGAGGCATCGCATCCGGCCCTTTTCGGCACTTCCGTCGAAAGGAATCGCTTTAGCGGTCTTAAGAAATGTCCGTCGTAATTCCATTATCACCCCGAATGGCATTAGCATAATAACGAACGGCACTTTTTAAAAGTTTCAGCACGAAGACACCCCCGCAGCAACCCCCTTAGCTCTCCCGTTGAATCTCGTCTTAACGCTATGGCACAAAATGCCGGAGCTTTAGAATGTAATTGAATTTAAATTGAAATTATGGTCGCGTAGCCGAAGCTGCGTAAGCCTGTTCGACTCAAGGTAAATAAACCTTCGGCAAGCTGGACGACTGGTGAAAACGCGGGATTGTAAACCGCGCAGAATGTAAACCGTAGATTTGCTGGAGTATTATGGGCGATCGTGAACGATTATGAAAACTCATTTCCGGTTAAGAACGTTTCGATGTCTTTGTTAGAAGGCTTTTGGTATTGTTCCATGGTTCGAGGACCTTTTGAGGTTTTTTTAAGGAGATTTGTTAATTTTTAGGGCACAAGTTTAGTAATTTTTGGTTATTTAAATTTTTAGGTTTTGCAAATTTGGATTTTTAAGGTTTTAATTATTTACGTTCACAAATTTAGCAAATTTTTAAGTTTTCAAGTATTTAAATTGTTAAATTTGTGGGTCAGCAAATACTCAAGTTTTCAAATTTTCAAATCTTCAGATACTCATGTTTTGAAATTTCTAAATTCTCGTATTCTAAGCTCATGAAATATTCAACCTTTCAAATTTTTAGTCCCTGAATATTCAAGTGCCCATGTCCCTAAATTTTCAGATTTGTAAATTTGCAAATACTCAGGTTTCCAGATTTACAACTGTCAAAATATTGACATATCCAATTTTCCAAATTTCCAAATTTCTAAATCCTTAGATTCCCATATTCTCAAATCAAATACTAGAATTTGCAAATTTCTAAATCTTCAAACTTTTCAGTTTTGAAATTTTGTTCACATTTCTCAAATTTCCCCAAACTCAAGTTTAATTTGATAATTTTACAATTTCTGTATTCAAACATTTCAAAGATCAGAAATTCTCAAAGACAGCCAAACTTATTTGCTTCAGCGACCAAACAAAAAAAAAATAACAAAAAAATAATAAAAAACACATAAAATAATAAAAAAAAAAAATTGAAAATTAAGTCAGAAGACTATTAATGGCCCAACCCAACATTCAACGTGTCTTGTAATAAAGAAATTGATCGATCGAAAGAAAGATCGATAAATAAAAAAAAAATTGTTCTTGCATCGGTCTCACCCGTTACATGAAAGAGAAACAGGAAGGTTATTACTCCCTGCCAGGTCGGGCCGTCTATTTCGAGCTTCAGGCAATCCGCCAAACTTATGTTAATTGTGCGAATTATCATTTCTAGACCTCAGCTGTCCGTGGATGATGTATATTATCCTCATCCGGGTTATATGGAAGCATCTTCCTGCCTCTTTACATCCCGCTCTTCCAATTATTTCTGCTAAATGCCACCATTGAAATAAGTAAACGTCTTTGGTTCAATTATCGAATTAAACGTCTCAGTTACATGTTGAAACAGCGACAGGAATTTATTTGGATCAGGTGCATAACGTTTAATCGGCGACTTCCTCCTTTATGTACTTTCATGTTGGATATTTTGTAACTCATTTTTGAGTGCGAGAAAATTTTGATGTGGAAAGATAAAAATGAAGAGGTTTTTCTTTGATAAATTTCTACTAAGACAAGGCATGACAAACTTCTACAAGTTTTTTCATAAGCCAACTTCTTCCTTATTACAGTAATTGCTTGCTATTTTCCTGCGTGAGGGGCTCTTTAGAAAGAAACAAAAATATAAGTAGTTATAAGCAATTTATAAAGTACTAATTTATTTCTACTAAAACAAGACATGATGAACTTCTACAAGTCCACTTTTCATAAGCCAACTTCTTCCTCATTAGAGTGAATGCTTGATATTTTCCTGCGTGAGGGGCTCTTTAGAAAGAAATGAAAATATAAGTAGTTATAAGCAATTCATAAAGTACTAATTTATTTCTATTAAAACAAAACATGACAAACTTTTATAAGTCCACTTTTTATAAACTAATAAGTTCTTCCTCATCACAGTAATGCTTGATATTTTCCTGCGTGAGGGGCTCTTCAGAAAAAAATGAAAACATTGGTACTTATAAGGAATTTATAAAGTACTTATAATAGATATATTGTTATTCACAAAGTACCCATGTCACATGTGTCTTGTGTTAACCTTATTATAAGTAACACATGCGCACACGTATGAGTCTTCAAAATGTACCTAGCCAAAAAATAATAACCTAGCCAAAAAATACCGAGATATTGCAGACGAAGTTGCTTCTTACAGAGAAGTTCGCATACAATCCGGTCCCCGCCTATTTACGCCACTGCAGGGTCGGGATTTGAAAATTCACAAAAAATAAAAACAAAGTTAAACATTGCGCGTTGTCGTACGCCGTTTCGCCGGTTAAAACGCACCGTGCGATTCTATCGCGGTTAATAAATATTCGGTCCGAGTCGCATAAATCTTGGACGGAAAAAGAAGTGCAGGCGCGGCGATCTCGATCGGTAATTCTATTTCGAGAGCGACACGAGGTTCGATTGTTCGTTCCCCGGTCTGTGGAACGGCGATCGAACGAATGACATTTCCGGCACTCGATACGTTCCGTTTCGATCAACTTCGACCGATCGATGTCCGAGTAACGGTGCCATGGATAAATGCTACTCGATCACCAGGAATCGCCAACTGATCGGCTCGATTGGTGGTTTTTTTCAGGGTGACACTGGCGCCTACCGATCCAGAGTCGGCATCGCTGCCGGCACATTTGGGAGAACAGCTTCTTCGACAGGAAGTAGTCTGCCTAGCTGCAGGAACAACTACATCGGTTCCGCTTCCAGTCGGGCTCTTGCCAAGGACAGGGTTTCCGGCTTTGGAAACGCGTTTTTGAAGAAGGACAAGTCGGAGGAGAAACCTAGCTTTAAATATTCCAGTAAGTTGTTTATTCGGGATCTCAGGATTTAAATTTACATCATAATTTAATTCGGGAATTTATTAATTGTTCTAAATCAGTCACGATGTTTGTTTATTTCGCATCAATAAAATTAATTTAATCACATCATATTCAACTTTGTTAATTGAATTAATTAAGTTAGCAATGAGTAAATTTATTAAAGTATAGTGAACTGTATTCAATTTAATCTCATCAATTAAATTGAACTAAATGACAGACGATTTCTTTAGGTAATTTGAATAATTGTGGTGACAATAAATTAATGTAATCAAACCTACATCAAGTTGAGTTTTATTTATTCTCACTAACAAATTAATCACAGAAGAATACTTATATTTGACTTCATCGAACAAATTATTCGAATACGACTTCAATTGAAAATTGAATTTATTTCTAAATTACATATCAATGATACAAATGAAATTGAAACCTTGAGTAATAAGATAATATCGAATAAAAGTTATTCAATCAGAAGAAATTTCATCGGGTATTGCGTTTCAGCTGCCAAAGATGCCGATAAAAGCAGACTGCACCCGGGCAGGTCATCCACGGAGGACGTAAGGGCGAAAAGCCCATTATCGAACAGCAGATCCTCCCTGTTCGAGAAGTACTCGTTTCCAGCTGCTAAAACTTCAGACAGACCAGCCTCCGTCTTGGACAGATATAACCGTGCCACTTCTCGCGAGAAGAGCAGAGAGCCCGAAGGAGTATCCCGATACGGATCCAATACGTATCCCGGATCAGGCTTGGCTCGAAGTTATGGAAACGAAAGTAGAATCGAGAAGAAAGAGAGAGCCGACCATCCACCGGTTTCCTATCGAGGATTACGGCCTAACTCCGGAAGAAGTTCACGTGAGCCTAGCCCGGAAGTCAGCGTCGGAAAATCGAACTCCTTCAGGATGTATCCGAGAGCGTCCTCTTATGGCCGTTCCGGTGCCTCTTCCAGTAAGTATACTTGCGTTTCTATTCAACTCTTATTCTGACAGATAAAGGAAAGTCCTCATCTGTTATTTTATTTAGCAACGCTTTGCTTTACTTTTGTTTAATTTAAGAACACTTTACTTTTTTACTGCACTGGATTCTATCGGAATTTATATTTGTATTAGGATTTAGGGTTCTGGTAGTTTATGTAGAATATATATTCATACTTCATATTCATTAATTTAAGGTTTGTAGAAACATTAATAACAGGGACGATATATTGTGCATTATAATTCGTGATGCAAGTGCTATTCGATGAGATAGAATGTAATATATTGCCACAATTCGAGACAGAGTAAATTCTACATAGCATATTGAATAGATGCACCCACATATCACCTGCACATCAGACTATGCACTGTATTATCTACAAGTTTTATCATCCATCGAATATTTCATACCTAGTATTAATTGTACGTTGCATTGTATATAATTGTTTGTTTATGGCAATATAGCGAGAATGATTAAGTTAGACAGTTAATATTATTACTTCACTTAACACAATTTAAGTAATATTATTTCTCAACAACACCCAACTTCATTTTATCATGTATTTAACGTAGAAAATGGTTGCAGGTGCCTCCGAATCCAGTTCGACGCCCATCTCCTCCAGATACGGCTCCACAGCAACCCCCAGGTTCCTCTCCACTCGAAGTAACGATCGAGTTCCCGCGGCCATAAGCTACTCCGGATCGGACAGGTTCCGAACTACAGGCAGTAAGCCCGTGCCGGCGAGCTCGAAGAAAGAGGACGTAACAAAACCTCCCGAGAAGGTTCCCGTTCAAGAATCATTCGCGTCCAAACCCGAAGAACTCGAAGTCGACAGACTTCAAGAAAGCGAGACGGTAACTGTGACGATGATCACCAGAGGCACTTCACCGAGTCCGCCAGCCTCTTCCTCCTTCGTACGAAACAGAAGAGCAGACATAGGTATCGCGAATCAGAAGGAAGTAGCAAGGGTTCGGAAAAAAGAGTCGAAGGATCAGGAGGTTCAGTGCGAGAAGATGGAGGACTCTAGGTTCCTGCGATACGGTGGCGGTGGACGAATAGCGGGTGCTCCGTGGTCGACGTACATAGACAAATTTTCCTCTTCGAACCCGAGCGGAAGTCCCACGTACGCGAGAGGATTCAACAGCGGTGGAGGAAACAGAGTGAACAGTTTCGCGTTCAGGTCGGAAAACGGAGCTTCGAGGAACGACGCCCTGAAGGTGTCTCCTAATTCTAGTCAAGAGATCAACAGGAACCAGAACGAGCAGGGTAAGGTGTTCGGTCTAGGCTTTTCGAAGGCTAATGGTGGACAGGAGAACTCTAGAAAGGACCAACCGGAGGGTAAATTGCCAAATACTTGCTCCGTTGGAAAGACCGAAGCCAAAGGTGGTCGTCTAGCGAGCCCGAAGACGTTCAACAACGATTGTTCGTCACAACAATCCGGTATTGCGAAGTCGCAAGAATCCAGGGAAAGCGTGTCCAAGGGAGAGGAGACGCAAAGTTCCAGAGAAAGTTCCGCCTCTAAGAGCGAGAGTTGCAATCAAAGAAGACCATCTATACCCAGGCTGGGTCGCACGCCGAAGAACGACGTTAAGATCGTCAGGTCTTCGTCGAGTTCGTCGACCAAGTCTGACGGACTTCGAGAAAGAAGGGGTTCCACGCCTAAGTCTGAGTCCAACTCGTTGTCTAAGCTGGACGAATCTTCCAGGATTGTTGAGGGGCACTGCAAAGAACAGAGTGAAACGCCGCCCCTGAAGAACGACAATGTTTCGCGCGGCAAAGACCCCTTTCAGAGGTAGCTGTTAATTTTTATTATACATAATTAGTTTGGTTCAAAGATTCCCGTTGGTGTTTACGTTTTGCTAAGTTTGATAGAATCTTGCAATGTATAGACTCTTCTAGTTTGTTCAAAATGGACAAAATAATCAAGATTATAATATATTCAAGTTACACTCATAAATGTCAGTATTCTTCCCTTTTTGAAAGTGTTAAAGATTTGAGGATTTGTATGTTTGAAACATTCATACTATTGCAATCAGATATAGTGTAAGCTACTTTGCATTAAACCTATAATAATGTACACTTAATTTTCTGAATAAAAATCACCGCAGGTTTCAAGCTTTAACAAAGTTGCAATGTAAGATAAGAAACTTGCGAATTAACCGATTTGGTACATTTAGCGTTAAGTGTCATTTCTCTTGAATGATCAGTCCACTTTGAACACACTGTAATTCCAGTTACATTATACCACCGTTTCATACGACAATTCTTCTGTTTTCATGAAACAATAGTTCATCCCAAAGTCGATCAACAACGCCCCAGTCCCGCAGTGGATCGTCAAAGAATCTCCCTCGTCAAATGACGCGAACGGACTCGTCAGACAGTTCCGCTGTAAATGTGCCAATTGGCAGATCGAAATCCTCGTCAGCCAGTTCGACGACGAGTCAGGGTGCAAAAATAAAGGCGACATCGACGCCTTCGTCGCCAGGGAAATCGTCGGTCGGTTCGAGCGCGTCCTCAGTGAATCTGAGACAAGGCGGTTCGCCGGATGCTCGTGGTAAACCACCTGTCCCGAAGAGCGACGCCGCATCCGCGTCCGCGTCCAAAAGCATCGTGCCAGTGAAATACGTGAACAAGGACTTTCGCAAGTCGACCCTGAACATGGAGAACGGTGACCCGTCGCGGTCCAAGTACAGCAGGAAAAAGAAGAGTAACCAACGAAGCGTGTCCGTCAGCTCTCAAGATTCGCAATCCGAACCGAATTCCGAACCGATTCGACAGGCTGTTCCCTCGGACTCTTCGAGTTCCGCAAAGTCGAACAGGTCGAGGCTGCGAATGCCGTCGAGTACGTCGAAGACGATCATGAAGAGCGACTCGACGAGCAATTCGTTCAGGCCCGAGAAATCGAGAAGCAGCTCGAAATCACCGTCCGCTAGAAGACAGAAAGAAGGAACATCGAGTTCCAGCAGCAACGAGTCGAACTCTTCGAATTCGTCGAGTAGCGAGGAGGATGACGAGAACCAGAGGAGATCCAGCTCCAGACGTCGTAGGAAACGATCATCCAAGTCACCGTTCTGCGACAAGAAGGGCAAAATGAGCGCCGGGTCGTCTAGGACCAGCGTGTTAGCTTCGTCCGCCGACGAGATGTCCTTGACCATGGACAAACCTCCGCGACCGCCGTCTAGTCCAAGATCCAGAAGCGATCGTTCAGGGAAAACAGAGGAAGCCAAGTCGTTTCTCATGAGAGCTCTCGCGCCAGTGACGAACCTCTTCAAGAATAAACATCAGGATTCCAGCGAGTCCGGTAAATCAGGTGGTTGGCTGGATTCCAACGAAGAGTGTACGGACGTAAAGAAGTCGGAACAGAGCGGTACGTCCTTGTCCAAAAGTCTATCGAAGAGCTTCAGCTTCACGAACTCGGAGAAGAACGACGACAGAAGACAACAGACCGGCGCTAGGATAAGACGCAATTACTCCGGGGAACAGCCTTGGTGGATGGATCCGAACTGCGACAACGTTCCTGAAGGCGTCGAAACAGGAAGCGTGTGTAACGACGACATTAGCCAAGAAACGACCGTCAGCGGTGCTTTACCTGACGATGGTGAGTCACCTTTAGCGTTTTTAGATTCGCGCATTTATAAATATCTGTGTTTTGATGTGAACGATAGTAAGCCACGTGCGCATTTCGTTTTAATGTGCCAATTTTATGGTTATTGGGAAAGTGGATAATAATATTACAATTTCGGAAGAAAGAGTAGTATCTCTTTTAAGCAATGTTACAAGATTTAAATGTTTATGATAGAAATTGAAAAGTTGAAGAGTGGAAAAATTCCAATGTTCAAAGTCCCAAAATAGTTTCAATTTCTATTTCCAAAAGTTTTCAATGTCCCAAAGTCAAAAGTCGTCAACACTAAAATCCCAAAATACTTGCACCGCTTTTCCAGTGTTGATCGTTCATATTCTCTGACATCTCCCAAAAACAAAAACATATGCTTGTCATAAAAAAATTGAATACAACCCCAATCCGTCAGCACGAAATAACTTGCCATAACTGTGTTTACAGGAAAATTTAAATACAAAGTATGGAGACAAGAATCGGAGGAGCGAGTCTGGTGGTTAGATTCGAACGACAGTGTAGCGTCGGAGGACGCTAGGAAACAGTGCTCGACGATATCGCGACAGGAATCAGGGGAGAAATCGTGGTGGTTAGATTCCAACGATAGCGGGCCGTCGGATGAAACGAAGAAACAATCTTCCTCGGCAGCCTCGATGCACGACGCGAGAGACAGAGCACGTTGGTTAGATGGAAACGACAGACAAACCTCGGAGGAATCGAAAAAATCGTCGTGTTCGACAGGGTGGAGGCAAGAATCCGTTGAAAGAGCTTGTTGGAACGACGGTGTTCCGTCGGACGAATCGAAAAAGCCGTTCTCCTCTGCTTCTCCCGCACAGAAACGAGAATCTAGTCGTAGCAGCACCCGATCCAGCGATAAAAGAAGTCGGATCAAGCATCAGCAATCCGGAGAACGAGCTTGGTGGATGAGCGACGATCCCGATAACGTACCTGAAGGAATAGAAGTGATTCCAGTGGCCACAGACAGTGCTCGAAACACCAGCGACTATACGGACGAAGTGGACGACAGTCAATCTTTCGGGAGGATATTTAATAAAGTCAGACATATCGAGTCCGGAGAGAAACCGTGGTGGATGGACAGCTCGTCGAACGTTCCTGATGGGGTCGTTAAAATTCCGGTGGAAACTTCAAACAGCACGTCAGACTCGTCCGAGTCGTTCGAGAGAATCGATATTGGCGTTAACCCTGAACCTGAGATATACACCAAGAGAAGCCTTTCTAGATTCCCTATCGAGTTTCCGCCACCTCCGCCCGACGAGCCACTCGGGGATCGCGCCAGTCCCGAAGGGGTAAAGTGATCATATATCCTGCATTATTCATTTAATAGCCTCTAACTGACGATACGATGCCTCCGTCCGATAATATCCGACGTGATAAATCTTTGAGTTCGCGTGCGAGGGGTGAGAAAATATAGCCGTTTGCTCGTTTTGATGAAGTGCTTGATTCCTGATTAATAACGATTACCTCGATGAGAACCTTAGGCTCCGTTATCGAATTACTCTGGACAATATTTATAGAGCTCTTTTCTTATCGTGGAAATAGCCAGTAATCATTTTTTGGGACTATAAGTATTACGTATAGTTTTATTGATGACACAACAGGCATGTAGAGTAATTATGGTAAAATAAGGGGTGCATTAGGAATTGTTCAGTCGAATACATCAAACTGTATGACAAGCAAAAGTTCATCTATTTTCTTGTTATATTAAGTAAGGTATAAAGTCACCTTAATAATTGAAACCTCAGTTCTAATAGTTGAACGAGATCAGTAAGAAATGTAAGTAAGTGATTTTTGCAGTAAAGGTACGTTCATTTGTCAGGTGGAAAATCCTCCCGATCCGCCAGACAATTACGGCGGACGCGACTCGCCTTACGACAACGTGCAGCCATCAGCACCCCGCAGATCGTCGCCAAGGAAACGACCGTCCACGTTACCGTTGTTCATCGGCGAGCACACCAACATCGATGACCTTTTGGGCGACACCACTAACCTCTGTCCCAGTCCTGTCTTGTCTCGCCTTCGCAAACGCGAATGCATCGAAGAGGGTGAGTTTGAGAATTTAACACGATTTACAATCGATCGTGTACGCGTTCGTGGCTGCTAGCCGATTTACCAGCTGCATCGAAATACGGTATCGGCTTTGAAATAGTTCGAAACCGGGTCTGTTAACGAGAGAATGGTGTCCCTTTGAAGAGAATCAATGGAATCGTTCCTTTCGGGAATTGCGGTATGCTGGACCGATGGGTGCTGAATCGTGGGAACACATACATACACATAGATTCGGAGTATTGAAAGGGGAGCGGGATTAGGGAACAGTTCGTACGAACAGATTTCAGCGATTGTAATTCTCTTGATGAAAGGAAATTTGGGTTACTGGGCGTTGAGAAATAACGAACCATAACCGTAGATCCCCACTAATTGCTACCACCCCTATGGAACCACTTAGAACACCGAATTAACGAGATACGTGCAGCCGTGGTTCCTTTACGCTGACACTTTAAATCGACTTTGTTATTCATGCAGATTCCAGCGAGGAGAGCTCGGAGTGCGAAGAGATCGATGCCACCCAAGTGATCATCCACGACAGCACACCCCAGACGCCGGTGATACAGCGACGACAGCGGTATGTTTCGTCTCGATAATGGAACTGAGACTTCATCGATGCTTGATTTATAATTGAACGATTTTCTTCAGGGACAACGAGAGACCACAACCCGATGGCTACATTCCGGTAAGTTACCAGCTTTTTACATTTCCATGCTTAGAGTACATGTCTCATTAACGTATTCAACTGCGTTCTGGTTAAGTGATAGGTCAAGTGCAAACCAAACAATTCACAAGCACTTCTATGTGCAGTGATGACTTCATAAAGATTTTAGACCTTCAATTTCCAGGTTTAAAAAATGTAGAAATACATTAAGATTATAATTGCGATTATGTCTACAGATAATTTGTTCACCCCATTCCGGGAATAAATATTATCTGTTTCCGCAGCAAATTAAATTATGCAGCAATTTTCTTTACAGTGGTATTTCATAAAAGTTTCATTACTTTAATAAAAAAAGCCGTGCGAACAAGCTGCAAGAAATAGCGAACGCGAAACAAATGACAAAACTTCCGCTTCCTTTCTACCTTACCAGTCGCGCGTTCCTCTGTTTTTGCTATTCGCCTGCAATTCTTTTCATGATCAGTAGCTGAAGGAAGGCTGTGTAGGTGGCACTGGATAGGACGGGGCACACTCGAAAAATGCCAGACGAACAAAGACGCGAAGAGGGGTTGGCGACATCAGGAGGAGTGGAAGTGCGCGCGACATTATTGTTTCTCATGAGGGATGTACGAAAGAGACCCTTCTCAGCTTCAGACTGCCTCCTCCTTTCTTTCCGTTTTGCACGCAAAGTGCTGTCAACAAAGACATCTTCTGCAGTCACTTCCACTCTGCTCGCAACTTTCCTCGCTTGCTTCGAACCAGACCGAATCTTCAATTATGTTTCATATTTGCTTTAATCAGTCTCGACGGGATCTTCGTACTATTGAACGGAGCTGGGAGGCAAAGAAGACAGGGAATGTTATGTAGGTCGTCAGACAAAATGCTAGAAGTTATTGTTAAAATATATTTAATTGGTATAAAATATTTGATGTTGAGATTGTTGGACAATCATCTGGAAAATTGGGAATTTGAGAGTTTGGAGATTTAATAATTTAGGGACTTGGAAATTTGGGTAGCTCGGAACTAGACTGTTTGAGAGTGTCGCATATTTATTAAGATAGCTTCTAAACAGTAAATAATGCGTCCTTTTATAATTACAAATAAATAAGATCACATTTATGAACAATGTCTGGTGCATTTGCATCAGCCATTTTTATTAGTTCGCACGCTGACAATACAACTCAAATGGTATATCTTGTACAGTGTACAAAAAAGTAATTTATATAGTAAAGACTAGAAAATAGTTCAACTCCAGTTAAGCACAATTATTCATAATATTCATAGAAAATTTATGACATCACATGGTACACGGAATAATCCCAAAATTGTCGATGAAGCAAGGGGATCAGCTTACTCGCAACGAACCCTTTGTGCTCCCGATTCCAAGTTGCCGAGTCACTGACAGTTTCCCAACACACCATAGAATTTTATCGCAACGCCGGCACCCTCCCGCACGAGCTACCTCCCATCACGTTTCTATGGGTCCAGCAGCCCCTTTTGTGAGCTTGTCACCCTCGCAGCGTCGAGGCAACAATAAGCACAGCCGCACTTATGGTTACGCTCTACGTGCTGCGCCAGCTGATTATTTTTTCACCGCACAATTACCATCCCTGCCGTTTCATTTGCCTCGACGTTCCCCATGGTGGCTCTACGGAACCTCCCTTCAAAGCTGGGCTGTGTTTCTCGGCAAACGTTTATCTTACGGAAAATCAAAAAAAGAAAAAACAGAGGACGAGGTAGAAATGGGCTCTGAGAAACAGGTCATTCGGACTGGCCGGATTTTGTTTGACGACAATATTGACCGGTTTCTGGTTGACCACAAGACCATCCATAAAGGTTTGGGTTCGTACATTTGTAATGGACCTCGTTGCTGGAAAATGCATGCTGTTTTCTAATTCCAACTGCAGACGCTTCTGAAATATTTAGTTGGTTCGCAGAGTTTAATTAGACACGTTTCCTGTAAATTTAATGAAGACTTGTTTGGAATATTTTTTCGTTTGATATAAATGAAGGATTATGAGAATAAACTGCCTGAAGTGAGAATAAATCTGAGAATAAATAAAGTTTGCAGTAATTGTAATAAGATATAATGTAATTCATACAGTAATTATAGTTTAAAAGAATAGATGAAATACTAATAAAAAAAATATGTAGTTACACAATGTGTCATAAAATGAAATAAAATATAAAATAGTAATAACACGTATAATACAATAATAGAATATTAATATAGTCATTTAATGAAACAGCAAAATCAACATCTAAGTTCAATACACATAAACTTTAATCTATTAAATCTCACACTTCAAGTTCAAGCTTCCAAGTCCAAATAATTAACTATTTGACTCATCTTCAACAACAGCCTCGAACTACAAAAATTACAAAAGATACATAACCAAGATTTTCTACAGTTTAAAATTTTTAAATTTCCCACCTTAAGTCCGCGAGTTCAACGCTACCAGTTATCATTTTTTTATCGCGTGTGCCAAACAGAGTTGCAGTTGGATTATTGCTATTATCGTTATCGCCGCACGATCACGTTTACAGCGGCGATAAAGAGCAGTTATAGTAATAAAGAGAGTAAATACATATTGTGTTTATTTATGCGACCGGGGTGCGCTTTGAATACGCGGCGAAGTAGGGAGGGGGTTGACCGCGTGGCGGAGCCACCGTCGCCTCGCCGGCGACAGGTGTCCGTGGCGCTCAGTGTCGCGGCGACCGCTCTGGAAGTAAGGCACGTTGCCGGTTCCGTGTCCTTTCGTTCGATCCTCTCGGTTTTCCTCTCTGTTTCACGGTTTCGCGTAGCTACGCTTCGCGTGGCCATCAGTGTGTGTTTTTCTAATGAGTGTCACGCGCGATCGCGGGCAACGGTGACGCGCGTTTCCGTGCGCGGGAAGCGCGCGTGTCGTTCGCGCTCCTTTGACGCGAGTTTTTGTCGCGCAGACTCCGATTCGTTCGCTGTACATACACATTCGCGTCCACGTTCTTGCAACGGAAAAATCGAGTACCTTCCAGCGGTGTCCGGACGCTGAATAATCGCAGGTAACACGAAAATTTAATGTTTTTATCGTACGTCTGAAAGTGACATTAAAGGGAACTGTCATCGTGGCCATGTTGTTACCGTTTTTTTGAACCACGTTTTTTTCACGTGTTACGAACAATCGATAATTACTGTATCGTAAGCATGACATTTTGGAGGACAAAACGACGGTTTGTATCTCGAGGCTTGGTCTTTGTATCGTGTTTTCTGTAACGTCATTCTCGGTTATGTAAAGTTCCATGTAAATTTGATGTTCGATTAATTATCGTGCTTCGATGAACGATGTGCGAATTCTGACACGTTGTGTAGACATCTTTTGACGTACATAGTTCGATTCCGTCGTTCCCGCGTTTGCCGTACAAATATTGGCGCTGGGAATCCAGTATCGACCGTACCTCTCCCGGCGACCTTGAAAATAGTCCAATCGCGCTCGCTCTCTTCTTATTTGGATATGGACCGCTTTCTATACAATGGCGCGAAGTTTTTTAAACTTTAAACCTGCGGATCTGTGTTATTACGTGACGTATTTTGATTAATAGAATTGTTTACTTAAGGACTGTGTTTAGGTTCTACTTTTGCAGGTATATAATTTTAATTACAGTATCTTGAGTGATGCTGAATATTTTCTAACAACTTATTATTAATTTGACTTATTATTATTTATTAACTTATTGTTCTTTATTAACTTAATTGGACTTAATGGAGATTTGATGTAATTTAATAGATCTTACCTAACCTTATAGGAATAGACCCAACTTAATCAGGATTACATTTAATTCAATCAAGCTTAATTTAATATAGGTTCCTAATTGGCTGTAATCATTTTTGGTACTTCCTCCTAATTACAACATCCTAATTTAATCCTAAATCTGTTTCTAACTTAGCACTAAGTTAGTCAAGCTCTAATTTAATCAAACCTAGTCTAATTTAATATAGATAGGTAATGCAAAATTCAGATATTCTCGACCACCTAACCTAACATGTCTTAACCTAGTATGGGTACCTTCATCTTTGGTATATTAAACCTAATCCATATCATGATTTTCCGGATACTGTATAGATGTCAGGATATATAAAATGTATGAATATAGAAGTGTATTAAAATAAGGATATAGAAATAATAGGAACAAAAACATATAGGTACATGCTGATATAAAGATCTGTAAATATCATGTATAAATCTATAGATCTAGGGATGTAGACATGGGAGTAGAGATATCTGGGTATATAGGGATCTGGGATGTACAGATATGGGAATATGGGTACCTGGAGATATAGGGATACAGGTATAAGAATTTATGGATACAGGAATTTGGGGTAAAGGCATTTGAAGGAAATATGGGGATCTATGTAGATATTTAGAGTCATAGTGATCTGCAAACATGGAAATTTGGGATATAGGACAATGCAAATATAGAAATTTCAAAATATAGAGATCTGGACATAGATATCTGGAGGTATTTATGAATATGGGTATCTGGGGATATGAAGACTTAATGCAGAAATCTTAGGATGTGGGGAACCAAAGATATATGGTTTTGGGGATTTGGGAACCTAAGGCTATAATGATGTAGAGGTGTAAGGGTCTAGAGGTATAAATATACAGGAACATGAGAATATACAGAAAGCAGCTGAATATAAGAAAATTTAGGAATATTCAAAAATAATGATATAGAGGTATAGAGGATCCATATAGAGGATCTATAGATGCAGAGATATAAAACTTTAGAAATCCCAAGTGATCGGAAAATGTAGAAACTCCCGACCTTGATACTTCTATTATTAATATAACTAGAAAAGTATAGCATGAATCAGTCCACGTGTTAACCTAACATCCACTCATTCCACTACCACAAATGTAAAAGTGAATTCGATGCGTATCCGTTAATTCAAAAAGCGCAAAGTAAACGTAATTAAAACGTGCGTATGCACATGGTCATGTTCACCGCGGCAGTTAACGCGTTCAGACGTGGACGTAGTTTGG